TTTTATTGGTGATGTAACTAACACTCACAGTGCATTATTTAACTAATAAAATCAACTTATACAGGTTAATTCAGATTATTTTTGTGAGGAATATTAACTCCGGACAATTCTAATCAAATCTCTTTTAATATTACTGATAACGATTGAAGCATTTTTTTTTCCCCAAATGGGCTGCATATTAGCAACGATGCATTTGCAGACCCGGCAAGTTCCCACAAATGCGACAGACATTTCAGTGATGGTATCATCTAGTGGCGGCTCTCGCTACCAAATTTGATGCTAGAATTTAATTCAAGCTCTCGCCGGATGCTAAATATTACCGTGAATTAATTTTGCCGAATTGATACTCAAGGGATCTTTTATTTGCTACATAATCATATGGCATGCGTGACTGCGGTTTTCGCATCTAGAAAATTTATCGATTCCAGCCGGGATCGAACCCGCAACCTCTAAGCCAACACTGAATGAATTAAGATAGCATTTCTAGAAACATTTTACAAATCACATGCAAAGCAAGAAGACACAAGAACACAAATAGCACTAATGAATTCAAAAAATATGACTTTATTATTGTGTGAATACTATAATAAATTCTTATATAAATAAATCTGGAATAAATATTGGATACTTTTCATGAAACGACTTTATTTCAAATATACAAAATGTTAGAAAAAATTATACAAATATAGTGTAAATACATTAAATATAAATATATAAAACTTTTCAAATAACACATATAGATCAACAACAGGGCTGCCATTTCAAAAAGAGAGAATTTATATAGCATTCTTCAAACTAAAAAATAAGCAGCTTTTTGTAATAATTTTTTTAGAGATTAATAATAATAAAATCTGAATCAACAAATTTATTTATTTTATTAAAGCATTTAATGAAAATAAAAGCCATAATTGATCCTTTAATTGTTCATCCAAATGTGAAAATGCATAAAAAACATAAGTGACAATCAGAACTAGTGTCGCATTGCAGAGGCTACAGTTCTGTAAAAAATTCTTCCTCTAAGGAATTTCACTCAATTTTTACAATTCTTAATATCACAATAATTAAAAAATTACAAAGACAATCCCAGCTAGTAAAGTAAGTAAATGGCAGCCTTGAATATACAAAAAAAAAGATTAAAAACTAGTACAGATATATCAGAATATTTGCAATTTAAAGTGCATAGAGAGCTCACATTTCATTCTTCATAAAATATCACTCCAAATAAAATGCAATGAATAATATTCTTTGACACTATTAGATACAACTTTCTAAACAGTGAAATGAAAAATCGTAAAAATTAAACATGATAAAAAAATGTATATCATCGGAAGACGAATAAATTTTGAATACAATTAAAAGTAATGACTTTAACACACACAAATATTCTCATGAAAAACAAAACTTTTTTTTTACCATAACATTTAAATTACACAAGACATGAAAAGAGTAATGTTCTTCTCAAACTAATATCTAAACATAAATTAATTTTTATTCTGTTTACATAATTTTCTGTATAGGTAGATGTGCATGCACATTACAATTCACAAAAAGTTTAAAACATGAAGTTTTGTAAAATGAAAATAGTTAAAACAAAAACTCATGAATTGCACTAAAAAACAAGAATCCAACAAATTATTTTAAAAACTATTTATGCTTTATATTTAAAAAGGTTTACAATATGATTACATTACAACTAGTACATTGGAAAGTACAGTTTTTTTAAGCAAAAGGTAATTATCACACCACATTTCACTTTAGTATTAGACAATGTAAGTCTGCATAACAAAATTTACTTGTAAAATAACTTTTATTAAAAGAATGAAACATAACATTTCATACATTTTAAATAAGTTGTTTTACATTTTAATTCTATAATAAAAAAAAAATTGATCGTATACTTATGTTACTTTTGGCTAAAAAATAATTTTTAAAAATGCAACTCTCAACACAGCTATCAGATTTTTAAAAAATCAGATGTTACATGAAGTAATGAACAAGCATAAAAATGATGTACCTTACATTTTTTTTAAAAAAATGCATTTTATATCTAAAAAATAAATTCATTGAAATTAATATAAAAAAAAACATAATATAATACATAATATATTATATAATATTTTTTCATCACTATTAAAACAGTTATTTTTGGCAATATATCCTCTTTCTTTCAGTTTTCTTAATTATAATTTAAAATTTTGTGCTCCAATTTTTGGCAAAAAATAAAATCAATTACCTTCAATTAGATTTTTTTCACAGAGATGTGCAAAAATTTCTTAGAATATATAATTTGCCATTTATAAATTTCTCTAATTTTCCTGCTTTTTAAGTGGGTTGATCTTCAATTGAAAGATATGACTGTAATAGCCAAACTAAGATTGTTTTATTTATGTTGTATTCACAAGCAACACAAGAGCTATTAGTTATGGAATTTGTAATTTTTAACCACAGAAAAATCATAATGATGCCTAAGCCGGCACCTTACTTTTCTCACTTCCACACCATGTTAATGTAGGGGCTATGTGCCTAAACAGATTTATCATGCATCAGCCCCTCTACATGGTAAGTCTTCATGGCATTAGAACTCAAATCCACAGAAACAATACTGACCACAACTTTTCAATCAAGACGACTTGATTGCTGCAGTCATGTAGCTCAAATAAGAACTCTCCTTAAGCTCTCTAGGGTAAAATATTTAACATTAGCATCTTCAAACCAATAACCCCTTGTTCAAATATTTTTCTCTCAATTAATTGATAATCAACTGTGTAAAAAGATAAATTTTTGTCCATTTTTAACTATATTATAGAAAAATCAATGTGTAACAATATAGTTTTATGAGAGATTCCCCGATGTAAAAAAACTGTAAAACAAAAGTAACCTGGATTCAATTTTTAAAAAATGAAACCTTTGTTAACACGCTAGCAAAAATGTTTTAAGTTCTGGTTATATAAATGAAATTTAAATAAAGAATATTTTTTAATAAATCTAATAACATTAATCCAATTCAAGGTTTTTCTAATTATACAAAACTATTATTTTTTTACCTTAATGATTAATTTTAAAACATACAGACATTCAAATTACTGATTATAAATGGATATTTATTGAAGAGTAAATATATATTAAATTAATATTAAAATAATAAAATGCATTGACCTTAAAGATAAATAAATGAAACACTACTCTCTTCCTTTTAACTAAAGAAAACATTGAATTTTTTAAAAAATCATTTATATAAAATAATCAGAATGTTATGTTCTAAATAACTTATCTACTAAAAACGGAAGTAGTAAATATAACCAAACCTCCTCCCTTATTTTCAACATCTATTGAAAATAGCTAGCCAGCTTTTCATGACTAAGTAGCATATATATATATAGATAATGAGAATTAATCGGCACAGGATTAAAAAAATTAATCTACACAGCCTAAATATTTAATACACAATTACTTCTATCAAAAGTACAGCAAAAAAAAAAAATAATTGTTAGAATTGACAAACTTTTGTTGAACAAGAGAAAAATAGCAATTTTCACAAACAAAAGATGAAAAAATACTACAGTAATTCATCAAATAAGAATTATTAAATACAAATATATCCATAAATACAGACATTTTATCCAGATTAAGATGGCAGGTAAATTTTGTGAGTATATTTCCTTATCTAAATGGAAATTGTACTCATAGTTACTATTAGTTTCAAGTTTAAACTTGATTTTCTCATTTTTCAAAAAATTGTAATTTTACAGCTGTTAGTGTAATATTTTTTTCTTTTAACAAGTAACATCTACAACTTTTTTTTTTTCTTTTTTTTTTTACAAAAGCTTAACAATTCTTTTCAGCTTATAAAAAGGTTACAGTACTGCATTTTATTTTAAATAAAGTAAAATTTCCGATTTTTTAGAAATTTATATAAATAAGCTATTGATAATTAAGATATCTTTAAAGAATTATTTTTAAAAAATGTCAAATTTGTTCACTTTTTTAGTTGACACTTTTATAGAAATTCAATTTCTTACAAAATGATTAATTGATAAATGAGAATTCTATTTGTAATTTTACTATAAAACTGTTTTCAATTTAAAATATATTGTAAATATATAAAAATCATGCACATATCACCTTGGAAAAACTACAAGCTGATTTCATTTGAAAACTTATATAATATATTGAAAAAAAAATTCCAAAAACATTTCATTTTCAGGAATTATCCATTTAGATTATTTTAATTAAGATTCAGCAATATTGAATACATATGTTTAAAAGTAAGAGAAACAAATTCTTTTAAAAATAATTTTACATCAAAATATTTAACACAAGGAAACATTACCAGATTTATCATGACTAGAATAAAAATAAATTGGTTCAAGATTCTTCATATTTTTAGAGGCTCACATGTCTTTTCTTTAACATAACCTCTGGGTTCTTTGGTGGCCAAGATTAATGGCAAATCTTTTCCAACCAAAACCCAAGAAGCGAAATGTGAAGAAATGCAAATAAGATAGCTTTTAAAAGAACAGAAGTTTCAGTAAGCAGAATGGCAATTTGGGGAATGTTATGCGTGATAGAGAATAGTGTGAAGTGACAGCCGATCGCGAAGTTACCTGGCCTGGAAAAATAAGCCATTTAATACAAGGTGCATACCATTGCACGCACGCTCAGACGTTTCCTCAAAAAGATCAAACCTAAGTTTGGATTAAAGTAGGACTGATTATTTGATATTAAGATTGTAATATTATTAGAAGTGAGAGTAGGCGGATTAAATAATTATTTAGAGAAAGTGGTCCAAGTTACACGATTCGGTTTAACTATCATTGTGTGTTTGTTCATTCTAGATTCTCGCAATTTAAATTTATCTAAATTGTTAGAAATTTAAGTTCTATTCTTAATAAAGTCATATTAAGAATTTAAAATGTCTGTTCCTTTTACAAATCCTACACCTCTACCTCACGCTGACAATCAAAGATACGGTCACCAAAGGGGGGGCTGTATCACAGTGGCGCCCAACTTGGGGCTCGAGCCCATGACCCCGAGATTAAGAGTTTCGTGCTCTACCGACTGAGCTAGCAGGCAATGGTATGCACATTGTATTAAACAGCTTATTTTTCCAGGTAACTTCACGATCGGCTGTCACTTCACACTATTCTCTATCACACATAACATTCCCCAAATTGCCATTCTGCTTACTGAAACTTCTGTTCTTTTAAAAGCTATCTTATTTGCATTTCTTGTTCACATTTCGCTTTTTGGGTTTTGGTTGGAAAAGAGTTGCCATTAATCTTGGCCACCAAAGAACCCAGAGATTATGTTAAAGAAAAGACGCGTAAGCCTGTCACAATATGGTACTCAAAACATACAGCAAAAACTTTGTAATTTGATATTCAAATAACCAAATTCTGATATATATTTTCAGTGTCCTATTTAGTTATAGATAGAAGCAATTTAAATTTTCATTACAATAAATGTATTTAATGATTATCAAGTCCCAAAATTTGACAAAAGCTGAGCTCGAGTACCACTACCATTATTAGACATTATAAAAGGCGAAAATACACCATTCAATCCATTCAAAGCAACTTGTTGGTGTAAAGATTGGATCAGTTTAGGAAAATGCCCATTTTCCATCTCTAGTTTAGAAATGCCAGTTTCTAAATTACGTACATATCCCAAAGCAGGCATATGGTTTCCAAATGAGCCAAAACATGGTAGGAAATCCAAAAAGGTTTGGAAAAAGGATTGGAAAATCTGAAAAGAAATTTTCATGTATTTTTTAAAAAATATCTTGTTTAAAATACTTATAATTTGCCAGTTAATATAAAATGACAGATATTTAAAGAGATTTAGCAGATTTGCTACTAGAGTTTTAAAAAGTTAAAATTAATATATCTTTAAGAACTATTCCAACTATAAGAACACTTCACTATCTATTACTCAGTGCAATAGCTATATCAAACATTTCAAAAGAAACTTCCTTTTTCTTATGTACAGTCGGCCCCTGATGAAACAAAGCCCGATTTAACGAATTTCGCGATTGTTAATAAATTTTTTCTTTTCCACGACTAAAATGAAAGCACAAACCCCTATTTAATGAATAAAAAGCCCAAATTTGATGAATTATTTCAACAACTGAAAAAAAATTTATTAGTTTGGATTAGAAAAAACTGGATTTCAAATGACATCCTTTTTGCTCAAAACAGAAAAAGCCTTTTCTTATATGTTGCCAATTTTGACAGGGTGCAGCCCATTATTAGACTTTACAGGTGTAGATGAGTCATGAGTGTAACCGATCAAGTGAATTTTGAATAAGACAAGAAATCCCTTTATCTTATTTCATTTCACAAAACAGGGGATATTTTAAGAGATTTTACCATTTTCTCTCTTTCTTGTGAGGGAAGTGATGTTTATATTATAGGTACAGTTTAGCAGAAAATTTTGTTTTTGAAAATTTGTGAAGCATGGCAAATTGTTGGAAACTAATGCCTAGATTTTTTATGAAGAATTCGATGATTAAACTCCCATCAAAACTATTATATTTTCTATAATGCTTTACATTGTTTGAAAATTATGAAAACATGCCTCATGCAGCAGGATGTAAAGGAGGCAGTATTTTTTTTCTCTGCATAAAGTAAAAAAAAAGTTTTTTTCAGTCAGGAATCGAAAAGAATTTCAAACATCTATTAGTCAGTATTTTTAAATTTTTTATTAACTGGTGCATAAAAATTTAGTAATAATATTTTAGCTACTAAATAAAAAGTGTGCAATTTTCAATTATGTATATTTTTTGTGCAGTTGCTTATTATGGAATTTTCAAAAAGTAAATGCAAAAAAATTTGTAATTTTTTGGACCCTGATATTACGAATAACCCCAAATTAATGTATAAAATGTTCAGTTCCAATGAATTCGTCAAATTAGGGTTCGACTGTTTAAGAATTCTATGATTGTCCAACACAACTTTCACTACCATTTTGTGATGTTATTCTCTCTAAAAACATGTGTGCTAATTGCCACTGAGAATAACAGGACCAAGATAGCTCAATAAATTTTAGGCTAAAACATTTTTATGAGGTTTTAAACTTAATAAATTTATCTTTACTTTTAAACCAATAACTCTTGCAATTCTGCTATTTAATTCTCAGATCACTCATCCTGTGATCTCCTAGGAATGTAGAAAAATTGTGTATTTCATGATATCCATAGATATAGTTTACCTCTATTTAAAAGCATATTTCACTACTTTGATGTTTAATTATTAATACATTTTGTAAAATCGGATATTGATCAACTAATGAGATTAGTTGTTCACACTAAATATCATGTATTTGTATAAACGAAAACATTTGTATAAACGTTTGTGTTCACGAATTCAGTTTTTCTACTTTTATTCTTTGCATATTATTATAAGATATTGCTTGCAAGAAATGTTAAGTCAAAGACAGAATGTACATTTCTGATGAAATATTTGACTCCAAAATTGATTTTATTTTGAAAATAGTAAGGTGATTAAAATAATATATAGATATATAGATGAATGTAGAAAAAATGACAGATGAATATAAAAAAAATAACAGAATACATAGTTATTTAACAGATTCCTCTCCAAAAAGCAACCAATTTGAAGACAACTTGCTAACCATTCAAAATATTTAGCACTGATATACAGTTTGTGCATCCCTGGCCAACATAAATTTTAATTTTGACCTTTTATCTTCAGAAAACTTTTTTGAAAAGGCTTGTTTGTATTGGGCTGCTAGCAAGAAAATGGTCAACATAGTCTCTTCCTCGATGTAATGCAAAAAAAATAATTGGCAGACATGTTAGCATTAGAAAAAGTAGATACTAAAAAAACAGTGAATAAGAAACTTTCCTTTTAATTTTTAAAAAGAGAAAATACTCAAAGGTGAAATTCTTGAATTTCAAAGGGTTAAAATTATGGTCGGGAAATGACAAGATAAAATGAGTATTTCCCCACCACCACAGTTACTATTCATGATACAAATTCTCATTCAGTGAAATTGAAATCAAACAAAATTATAATGAAATCAGGCCTTTGAGATTACAATAACATAATAGGTGGTTTAATTTAAATGACCAAGAAATGTTATACAATCCAACTTTTAAGAAACAAATAAAAAAAAATGTATGAAAATTTTTATATAATTCTTATATCAATCTTTGGAATACTTATGTAATTTACAAAAAGTACAACCTAATTCAAAATTAATTTTTCAAAAGAGTATCTTCTAACTTCTTTATATGATTTATTTACAATTATACATCTTAGAAGCAATAATGATTTTTATTTATCTGGAAATATATATTACCTTTAACTTTTTATCCATCTAGCATAAAAAGATCAAGTACTTCCAATTTGGTGTAAATTTTCCAATACCTGTAATGAAAATAAGCAACAATATAACTAATCTGAATTTTCAATTTTTAAATGTTTATTCTGAAATGAATTAAAAATGCTTAGATGAATTTTCATACTTTTTAGAACAGGCATTAAATTACTGAAATGAATTCAAATTAAGATATTGATAAAATAATTGGTATTAAAAAGTGATCAAAAATACCCTGAAGGTATTTAGTTTGCTCAAAAAAAATTTATTAAAATTAACATCAAAACCAGGGGCCCATCGTATCAACTGTATCAATGATACAGGGCCCCAAACTACAGGGGCCCCAGTATGTGTAATACCTGGAAACTTTCAAATAAGTTTTAGAAATGCAATCATTTTTATTTTTGAAAAGGGGCTCCCAAGAAATTTTGATACAGGGCCCACTCAGGACTAACTACACCAATGATCAAAACAATCAGTTAATGCTTCATACATATAATAAAAATTTCTCAAGTTTCTAACTAAATCATGTTAGTTTTAAATTGTTTAAAAATTAAAAAATCAAAATTATTTTTAAAACCCAATTGGCTTGATTAATTAAGCAATACAAAATAAGATTTCATAGCTATTGTATAAAAGAAAAACACAAGGAAAGACAAAAAAAATATATTTTCCTAAGCCCTTTTGAAAGTGAACCTCATCTAAGGAAGATTGAGATAAATCAAGGAAGCACAGTTATGTGGATTTAGATAGAGAACATCACAAGGTCCATTATCAAAAAATACAGACATTGACGAGATACAATGTTGAATTTTTATCACTTTTAATTCATGACTATATCTTTAAGCTACTCATTTACAGTTTGTCTTTCTCAGAAATTAATAAAAAAAATTTTTAAAGAATAAGATTATCAGTACGCTGGTGTTAAGAAATGCTATAATAGAGGTTAATTTATATTTATTTTGAAAAGTTTGGCACAGCTACCACTAATTGACACTACAGCAGTAAAACTTTAATCGAGGTCATTATGTAAAAACGTGTCCAGAAATTTCAGATTTATATTTAATAGTCTCAATCTGTAGCCATTATCTAAAATAAAACCTGGGATATTTTGATATAGAAAAATTCAAAACGAGGAACATTTTAAAGAATTTCTTCAAAATGCATACAGAAGCTTTATTTTTTTTTTCCTTTTGAAAAAAAAGATTCTGCTATGAGATTTTTTTATTAATAATTTTTTATAAAACTGGTAAAGGAAGCTATGCTAAAGTAGTAAGAAATATATATGATGAAAAGAAATACGGCTAAAAAAATTTGCAATATAATTTAGATCAATGCAGAAATTACTCATTCTTCCGCTAGAAATTCTTTGAATATTTTCAAAGCTTTTTAAAATTAAATATAACCACATGTGACTATATAAAAGCTTAACTTACTAGTGCGAGCGGAATCTGTTAATTTGAATTGCTGACAAATAAACAAACTTTATATCCGAATAAAACGATCGCCGCCAAATGCACTCATACAAAAACTGCTTGATCTTTTTATTTCACTCATCTTCAGTTCGAAACTGCAGAAGACGAAAGCGCACTCTACTCAAAAAAGGAAGAATTAAAGAAATTGAAGGAAAACGGTGAAGTAATTAGAAAATATTGGTCGTAAAGCCCAGATTTAAATAGTTTCTTCATAAAAAAAAAAGGTACCAGTGGCGTACACAAGGGTGGGGTTTAGC